ATCTCTTAATATATATTAATATATTGATGTATTAATTAATATAATTAATATTAATATAATAATCAATATATTAATAATTAATTGATATAAGTATTAATATATTAATATATATTATATTATTGACAGCCAGTTTGAGAGCTGGTGGCATGTGGCATAGGGCTGCAGAACACAACTGATGCATGTGTCCCAAGCACAGAGCTTATAAGCCATGTGGCTTATAAGTGGAGAAATGGAAGAACATGCAGCTTTGTGACCCAGGTGACTTATACTTCTTATAAGATAGATGGGCTTTTTTTCCTCCATTTCATCCAGGCCTCAGAGAGCCAACCAACAGGGACAGGGAAGAGAAAAAGGGTGAAAGTGATCTTAGAATGGCAGTTCTACTGAATCCCTGGATGGTCCACTCTGCCACAACCGTAGGAATGCTGCCACCAAAAATGTGCAGGATGGAATAGGAGCGGGGAGGGATGTATGGATTCTAGAATTCTGAAAATACGAGGAAGAGAATGCAAAACCAAAATAACTTACAGATTAAAGGGACTCTGGATAAATGAATCTGGTATAAAGGCACCAAGGATTTCAGGAAAGCAAAAGGAAGACAGAGAGGGATCTATCCATGCCTGCATCCCCAGATGTTTCCCTATCTGCATTGATGATGTAGTGAAATATGGGCTTTAGGGACTATTTAAACATTCAAAAGGTCAACAGAGAGGTAGAGGAATCTTCTTTGGAAGTTCTTACAACACAGGATTAATTCTATTCTGAAATGATTGGATTTCGGTTTTATGCTTCTCCCCAAAGGATGTGGTCAATTAACACAAATTCCTCCCTTCCCCCTCTGACTCTCCAAGGTCATGCCGACTTTGCTCACTGAGTGTTTCCAAGCCTCCAAAGAAGCCCTTTACTGGCATAGGCTCAATTCCTGCCCTTCTCTTCTCTTGTAAGCCTTTCGGGCCATTTTCATTCTGAACACAACAGAAAGACTACACCTCAGTTGGTCTCCTTTCTCCTGAAATCACAGGTTTCAGCCTCCCACTTGTTAACTGCCTCAGTCATGTCCGCACCTGCATCATTGGCTGTGGCTAAACTCTTTTGGCCTGAGAGAGAAACACCTAAAATAACCCTCCAGAATGCCATGAAAATGGAAAGTGGGTAAGTGGGATGCATTCACCTACTTAATACAAGCTGGGGAGTTGGGGGTGGGGGGAAGGGGGTCCAAATTCAAAATACAGCAAAAAGTTGCCAATCGGAGAGCACAGCAAATTATGGTATTAAAGTGAATTTAATTTCCCAGTGACTATTAGACTTCACTAGACTTCCACAAAAATCTCTTTCCAATTCTTGAAAAACTTCCCAAATATTTGAATGTCAATACATTTCCTTAACTGTGCAATGTAGATATTTCATTTTAAATATATATGTTTATTGAGCCCAGACTTAAGACCATTGGAAAGACATAGGACAACCATTTCTGGAAGTTTCTTATATAACAAGGAGAATTAAGGTCGGGTATAAGTATCTTTAACCCCTCTTCAATTCGTTCTCTTTTGTCCTGTGCAAAAGAAAGAAAAAGGGGTGAAAAAGACAAAGGGATTTAGGATAGTCAAAAGAATTTAATTAAATGACAGAATCCACCAATGAACATGTTGCTGAGATTCATTCCTTGTCTGTATGTAGGGACAGTCAGAACCATGAGTGACAAGCAAGTTGTCAAAGAATACACATAGTGAATATGTGTGATTCCACTTATAAAGTTAGCAAATGTGTAAATATACACAGCATATTATTTAGGCATAAAATGATGTAGGAAAAATAAAAAGAAGGGGAATGATGAGCAATTTCTAGGGAGCCAGGTACCTCTGAGATTAAAGAGAAGAGAATGAGATTAAGGAAGCAGAGGCACTCAAAGGGGATGGTGATATTCCATTTCTTAAATGAGGTCATGGATATTCAGGCCTTCCTCGAATTATTAGTTCTTATACTGTGAATATTTTATAAATATTTTCTAGTAGCTACCTTCATACAATTTTTAAATCTACAATATTTTTATCTTTTCACAGATTTTTAACTATTAATCCTCCCCCCATTAACAGAGTAGTATAACAGTTAGACACCCATATACCCATCACCTACATTCAGCAATTATAAATGACATCATGATTTCATGGAATTTAGAAGAGTATTTTGACCCAGGCATGAGCCTGAGAGTTTGTCCAAACAAGTGAGCTCTGATCATGCCATTTCTACACCTGTGATGTCCGTCCGCTGACAACACCTGGGTAATTCTGGAATTGCTATTTTTTAATAAAGTGATTCAAGGAACCTCCTAGAAGCCGCAACGCAGGGAGCATCCTCATCCATCTCCCTAGTGGCAAACATAGCTGTGAACTTGATTGCCTTCCTGGCCCTGTTGTCTTTTTTGAATGCAGCCCTGTCCTGGTTTGGAAACATGTTTGACTACCCACAACTGAGTTTTGAGGTATAATTCTATCATGTCTCTTCTCCATTTTGTTTCTGCCTATATTTGTTTAAAAATAAAATAGGTCATGGGGCGCCTGGGTGGCGCAGTCGGTTAAGCGTCCGACTTCAGCCAGGTCACGATCTCGCGGTCCGTGAGTTCGAGCCCCGCGTCGGGCTCTGGGCTGATGGCTCAGAGCCTGGAGCCTGTTTCCGATTCTGTGTCTCCCTCTCTCTCTGCCCCTCCCCCGTTCATGCTCTGTCTCTCTCTGTCCCAAAAATAAATAAACGTTGAAAAAAAAAATTTAAAAAAATAAATAAATAAATAAATAATAATAATAAAATAGGTTTGTGAATTGCCTTCCCTAACAACCTATAGTATACTCTTACATAATGCACATGCCTGTCATGTATCTGCCACCCCCATCACCCTCCTTCCCCCAACATACAGCCATTCTCTCCTGACCCAGGAATCCAGGTTACCAATGCCGACCTTGACTCCTAATGGATAGAGATAGGTCAGACAATGTGAAGGGATTTCTGTGCTTAAAGGAGACACAGCGGCAGGGGTGGGGGATCTTATCACAAGCGTGAGGCAGAATAACCAGAAACAAATCACCATTCTAATAAAATATCTATTTTGGGGTTTTATAGATAATATGCTCCTACATCTTCATGCCCTTTTCCTTCATGATGGGAGTGGACTGGCAAGACAGCTTTATGGTTGCCAAGCTCATAGGCTATAAGACATTTTTCAATGAATTTGTGGCTTATGAACACCTCTCAAAATTGATCAACTTAAGAAAAGAGGCTGGACCCAAATTTGTGAATGGTGTGCAGCAATATATGTCAGTAAGTAACTGCTTTGATTTCTCAATACTTCTTCATCACATACATACACTCGTCAAACAGTACTACTGCTTCTGTGTATCAAGATAGGCACTTGGGGATACAACAGAGGACAAAACAGTCTCTGATCTCATGGGCTCATAGTGAACATAGTACCTCATAATTTTCAATGGCGTTGAACTAATCCATGTGTGTGTGTGTGTGTGTGTGTGTGTGTGTGTGTAGAGAAACACAGCTAATCCTTACGACTGTGATCATTTACTTTTGAGAGCTGTGGATCCGAATATAGAGTCATATGAACTGGGACTGGAATCAATCAATCAACAAATATTTGCCATATGCCTCCTATCTGCAATGCAGCTCTGCACTGAGGGAAGGAGTACTAAGGCATCTGCCCTCATGGGCTCATAGTCTAATCATCTTGAAAGTCTCTTCCTTCCAGCTTTTGAAATTCTATGAACTCTGAGGAACTGCCCAAATGCAAGACAGTCCCTGGACATCTTAAAGAAGTAGTGAGACACAAGTGGATGAGGGAAGAGAAAATCTTGGGAAGTGGTCTGAACTTTGGAGACAAACATCCTGTAATGGTGTCAGGACTTCAGGTCAATAGGCTGTAAGGAGATGGTCATGTCCACTTGGCCTTGGAAGGGCTAAGGGAACTCAGGGGTAGCCATTACTTAGGTCATATTATATAGCCACATCTCCAATGTTTACTTTCCTGAAGAACAGAATTGTCACACACGTGGAAAGTCTTAGGGAAATGGTGGACATTTCTGACCACCGCCATTCCTCATTGAAACAAGCCACTTGTGGGGCACCTGGCTGGCTCAGTCGGTTGAGCGTCCAACTTTGGCTCAGGTCAGGATCTCATGGTTTGTGGGTTCAAGCCCTGATACACGCCCTGTGCTGACAGCTCAGAGCCTGGAGCCTGTTTTGGATTCTGTGTCTCCCACTCTCACTCTGCCTCCCTCTCTCAAAGATAAGTAAACATTAGAAAACAAAATTAAAAATTTAAAAAGCCACTTGTAATTAAGGTTCTAGGCCTGTATTCAGCTTTAAAAGGAAAGAAAGAGGAGGAAAATCATGCTGCCCAAGGCTCTGAAATCGCCTGCCACTGGACAACACTACCATCTTCCCAGCAAAGGACCAAACATGCAAATTTACTCACATATACTACACAAATGGAACTGCCTACTCCAGGAGAGTACTGATCTGTGTTTTATGGTCCAGGTCGTTTGACCCACACATCGGATACAGTGGCTCTGTAGGTCTCCTGTTTTTCAATGTCTGTTCTTCAACTGGCCATGCAGTGCAGCTTGGCAGAATGTCTTCATTGTTTGGATGCCGCCACAAACCAGTGTGCTTCCGCGCCAAAAGTAAACAATAGGCTAAATTAAGTGAATTGCTTTCCATCCCCAACTGTCAGTTGCCAGGAGAAAGTAGTTTTGTTCATGAGCTGAGCAAGCTCACGATCCCAGCAGTACTGAGCGGGCTTGTGAACAGTTACTAAGAGAACAGAGACACAACAGTAGAGCTGATTTGGGTTGAGGGTGAGCCCCCACCAGAGTCCGACCCACAGGAGTGATCTGGAGACAGGAATTCAGTAGTTTCTGCTACTGTCGAGTCATAATGGCAAAAGCATTTTGTTTTTTCCCATTTCTTATTTCCGGTCGACAAAATGGGGATGAGTCCCTGCAGTTTTTGTTTACCAACCAACAAGCAGTGGGGATGTCACAGCATCTCCTGGAAAAGGCAACACATGACTGAAGCGTAAGATCTGGGTCCCTGAAGCAAAACCCAGTGTTGTCCAGGTCAGAATATGTACGTAGCATGTCATCTGCAAAATGAGCTCTTCCTTACCCCATCGTCTTTTCTTTCCCAAAATAAAAGTAATACTTTGTGGCATAAAAACAGACACTCAGATCAGTGGAACAGAATAGAGAACCCAGAAATGGACCCACAAACATATGACTAACTAATCTTTGACAAAGCAGGAAAGAATACCCAATGGAATAAAGACAGTCTCTTCAGCAAGTGGTGCTGGGAAAACTGGACAGCGACATGCAGAAAAATGAACCTGGACCACTTTCTTATACCATGCACAAAAATAAACACAAAATGGATGAAAGACCTAAATGTAAGACAGGAAGCCATCAAAATCCTTGAGGAGAAAGCAGGCAAAAGCCTCTTTGACCTTGGCCCAACAGCAACTTCTTACTCAACCCATCTCCAGAGGCAAGGGAAACAAAAGCAAAAATGAACTATTAGCACCTCATCAAAATAAAAACCTTCTGCACAGCAAAGGAAACAATCAGCAAAACTAAAAGGCAAACGATGGAATGGGAGAAGATATCTGCAAATGACATATCAGATAAAGGGTTAGTA